CCTACGCGCGCGGGGCGGGCGGCGGCTGCATGGCGCTCGGGCGACTGTCCGGCGAGGGAACCGTGGGGCCGGGAGGGCCGAGGAGGGTCGCTGCCAGCGTGTTGGGGCGACACTGGCTCACGGGCCACGGGGGCTTCTGCAGGATCGGCCCGTCGAGGTTCGGCCGCTCCCCGAGCAGGGGCACCTGGACGGCCGGGTGGCTCTGCGGGCCGGCGGCGAATCGGGAGAGGATTCCCCTGCTCGGCTCCGCCTTCCGCGCGCCCGGCCCCCCGCTCGCCGGGTGCGGGGACTTGGGGAGGGCGGGGCTGCATACGCAGGGGCGGGAACTGGAGACCTGCGGAACGAAGCAGCGCGTGGGGGCGGAGCGAGGGGAGCCCCGGGGGCGGGAAGCCGAGAACACGTCAGGGAGCCCAAGACTGTCGCTTTGTCACGCTGAGGAGAGCCTGAGAGGCCTCTCCTTAGGACTCATCAGCACCCCATTACTGCCTAGGAGAAACTGAGATGGGGAGAATGTCCCTAGGCTACCTCAGGAGCCAGAGACAGAACTCTGCACCATTAGTTCCTTGTACCTTTCTCAGATCTGGATTCTGGCTGGCTTTATTGTGTCTCCTGCACTTGTCTTACTGGAAGAGAACTCTTAAAAAAATTCCAAGAAATCTGAGGAGTCTTGGTGTGGGGTGGGACTATGGGAATGTAAATTCCAGAGATTGAATGTTTGAGGCTCACCACTGAGAGTCCTATTCATAGGTGACATTGTCTTGCAGGATACCTGCAGTCTAGTGAGCACATAGACTACAATTTGTATGTTAAGAGTCCATGAATGTCAGAGTCTTCTGGAATGTGTATTGTGGGGAGAGAGCTGTCAAGAGTAATCCATCAAGATACAATTTATATTAAAAAGCCCACCTGAGTACTGGGTGTGATGGTGCAAGTCTGTAATCCTAGCGCTTGGGAAGTCTGGAGTTCAAAATCCTTGGAGAGGCCAACCTGGGCTCTCAACAAACAAGCAAAATCCCAGTATTGAGATGGTGAGGAGGAGAATTATGAGTTGGAGGACAGCCTGGGCCACAGTGAGACTCTATCTCTAAAGAACAACAACAAACTCTTTTGGGAAGAGGATGCAGCTCAGTTGGTAGAGTGCTTGCCTAGTATCCTAGCATACTTGAAGCCCTGGGTCCAATCCCCAGCCAGCACTGCCTAAACAGCACAGAACAAACTGTCTTTTCCTTGTAGTTTGGCCTCACACTTGGAAACTAAAGTCAACTGACTCCCAAATGGTTTGAAGCCATTGTGGAGAGAGAGAGAGAGAGAGAGAGAGAGAGAGAGAGAGAGAGAGAGAGAGAGAGAGAGCGCTCCAGCCTCATAACCGGTGACCAAAGTACCAAGTCATTCTCTGTTGGTCTTAGTTCCCTGTCTGACAGTGGGGCACTGGCACCCACCCTGCAAGGGGCTGTGGTAATGAGTGCTTGCAAGCCAGCATTTGCCCTGCCTTCTCAGTGACGCCTAGTAGGTTACACAGTTCCTGTCAGTCCAGCCAATGTGACTGGAGCATCCTTGGTCTCTGTAGAAAAGGTTGACCTCCCTTGAGGACAGGATATACCTCCATTTTCCGTTTTTTACACTTTGTGTACCCAGATGGAGCAATGTGCAGTTTCATGTTTTTATTAAAAATGACTTCTTTTAATCTTGCATATCAGAAACAAAATATATTGCCTGATGTGGCAGAATTGTTTAAATATGAGCCACGTGGCTGATATATGTCTCAAAACAAGGATATTAGGTGATCCCTAGGGTTGAAAGAGGCCTAGTCATCAAGGAGTGAGTCTTGAGCTAGGCCTTCATCCATGACAGCAGGTGACATTTTCTGGGACTTCAGGCAGGAGCATGCTAAGCTCCCTAGGGCTCCCTGTTGTGGGATATTTTGATCACAATCCTGAGACTTGCCAATAAAGTTAAACCTTGAATCCGGGGGTGGAGCCAGCAAGTAGCTGACCAGAATTGGCCATAGAGAAGACAGCAGTTTGAATAGAGAAGACGCACAGGAAGGAAAGGGCAAGGACTTGAGTTTGACACATCCTTTCCGTTCTGGGATGAGGGAAGAGATGCGTCTCTTGCAGTGTCTCTGGTCAAAAAGCAAGGTCAGCAAGTTGCTACTCAACCTCTTTGAGCTAGCAGGTTTTTACCCCAGTCTTTGACTCCTGAGTCTTACTGATAAATAGAATGATAAAGACTTAATTTAAACCTACATATTGAAGCAGGAGCAGAGCTGGGGCCATGGGACCAGAAGCCCTGCCGGGCCGCAGCCTGAGTGGCCAGGCGGGCACTGACTGTGGGGTCGTGGGACTGCAGCCGATTAAAATATCAGTAGATTCACATGCTAAGCTGACAGAAGAATTTCAGCTCCCTTACTGGATCTGTACAACAGGGAGGAACAGCTCGGAAGGGAAACAGACAGATTTATTTGTAGGTGGGCGTGATGGCATGCAACTGTAACAGCACTCAGCAATTTGAAGTAGGACCAGGAGCTCAAAGCCAGGTTGACATTATTCAAGTCTAGCCTGGACTACCTGAGACCCTGTCTCAAAAACCAACCAACCAACCAACCAACCAACCAGCCAACCACAAACAAAGAAACAAACAAGATCTGTTTGGAGAGTCAAGCAGTCACTGTCAGGTTGTTAGCAACATAGCCCTTCATTCCTTCATCCAGACCACATTCCCAGAACCTGGCAAAGGCTGCCACTCTGCCCAACCAGAAGTGTGATTTCCACTCAGAGAATCATATGATTTCCAGTCTCTAGATGGACAAAAAGATGGCAATCTTTTTGGACAATTGAGATTTGAGAATAGGAAATAAGTTACTTTCTGTCTTGGACAGAGGCTCTGCTAATACATGTTGCCTGACAATTTTTAATAGCTGACCAACTGCTATTTTTGTAGCACTCTTGAGGGTCATTTGCTTTACATAGGATACTCATCTTCACAACAGCACCATGATATGATATCTGTGTCATCAGGAGAAAGCAGGCTTTGCCTCTGTTTCCCAAATGCTGGATTTACAGGTGAGTGCCACCATGCCAGGCTCACATTACCTTTCATAGCCATCACCATTGTGTGTGTTCTTCTCTTTAGTTCATTAGGGACATGGGATACAAACTAGGAGTATAGAGTGCCCAAGGCCCAGTTGTTGCTGGGTCCTAAGGGCTCCCTTGTGGGAGAGGGTGAGAAGGCAAGTCAATGACACAGATACCAGGAGTCAGGTGAAAGGCAAACCACAGACTTGTTTATTCAGTAACAGGGAAAGCCTTATATACCCTCCTCCCAGCACCCAGGCTGTGTCCCGATCTGGTGACATTGCGTGGTTGCCCCTCATTGGCTAGGCACAATCAGAACCTCTGACAGCACCTGTTGCTAGGCCCTCAGGCAGACTCCACGTTGACTCATAAGGAAGTACGTTGTGTGCAGGCCTTGACAACTGGTTTGAGCCTTATCTTCCTGCACTCAGTCACCGAGCTGATCTGTCTACTGGTTAAGAACTTGGCCTGAGCTATAGACAGTTCATGGGTTCCTGGCCACCACCTCTGTCCCTTTCCTGCTCTGTTGCAGGTATGCAGGCTTCCTTCTGTCCTAGGAATACATGGAGCACACTCTAGCTTCAAGGCCTTTACCCAGGCTGTTTCCCCTGTTTCCTGAGATCTATCTTGGTTTTGTCCTCACTTCCTCTCAGTCTCTGCTCCACTGTCAGCTCTTCAGAGATCTTTCCTGGCCTTTTACTACAGCAAGTATCTATCTCCATACGCACGTTCCATTTCCACACCACAGCACACCCTCCTCGTGACCTGTCCCACAGCATGCTTTCTGTGTTTGCTTTGTGTCCCTCCTTTCATTTGAATGTCCCTTCTCCCAAGCAATAGACCTGGGCATGGCACACCGTAGGGGTGAACGAATGAGCACAGCTGGGGAGATGACTCATTGGATAACATGCTTTCTGTGCAGCTATGAGGACTTGAATTCAAGTCCCTTGCACCCATATAAAAGCTGCACACAAAGGTGCCCATCTGTAACCCCAGCACTGTGTGCATCCTGGGGTCTTGCTGGGTATCTAGTCTAACTGAATTGGTGTGCACCGTGTTCAGTAAGAGACCCCATTTTGAAATATAAGGAGAGTGATAAAGGAAGATGCCTAATATCAGCTTCTGTCATGAGGCACACTCAGCCACATACATGTATTAACCTCCACACCCATGTGAGCCAAAAAAGCCAGAATGAGTGAGTGAATTCAACAGCCTGGATCAATATGGTAACATCTTAGGGAGTAGAGAAGGTTGGAACAGCCTAGATGTTGTTTATCAGACTGAAGAAATAACAGCTACTGAGACAGGGAGAGGGAGGGAGGGGAACTGTGGTCAGGATGTGATATATGAGGGAAGGAAAAAAAATAGAAGAGCTAATTAGACCACCAGGCGGTGGCGCACGCCTATAATCCCAGCACTCAGGAGGCAGAGGCAGAGGGATCTCTGTGAGTTTGAGGCCAGCCTGGGCTACAAGCCGGGGCTACACAATAAAACCTTGACTCAAAAAACAAACAAACAATGCTAATGAGACCCCCCCCCCATCATCTCAAATCGTGGACGAGGTAGGTGCTTTGTCAATAAAACAGGGATGCGCAATTTTGTACAATTATAAATTTTGTAAATTATAAATTTTGTAAATTATAAATTGAGTACTTCAAAGAAAGTAATTAGTAAAAATGTGCCACAATTTCCTATGTCCCTCTCTGTATTAGCTAATTTTTTCTCCTGATGACTATTGAAGCAATAGCTTTGAAAAAATGATCTGGGTTTTTGAATTCCTCTCATTCACCACCTCAGAGTGCTGCAGGTGCAGTCATGCCTCAGTTCTCTCTCATTCTGGATGGAATTGGCATATGGTTGCCACATATAAACTGGGAAACAGGCAAGAACCATGAAAGACTCCCCGCCCCCCCCCAAAAAAAAAACAAAAACAAAAAGAAAAATTAGATAGAGCAATGAAGAAGGTAGAAACTAAGGCCTAAGCCATATCAAAGCCCATTGCAGAAGATGTGGGCTTAGCTCTGGGTGCATGTTTGGGGAAAGGCTTAAAGAAGTGAGAAAAGGACTGGGAATGTGGCTTAATAAAAGAGAACTGGTCTCACATGAATGAGGATTTGGTTTCAAATCCCATGACTGAAAAAGAAAATTACAAAATTCATGTCTTTCTTAGTGGCACACATCTTTAATCCCAGCATTCAGGAGGCAGCGGTAGGTGGATCTCTGAGTTCGAGGGCAGCCTGGTCTACAGAGTGAGTTCCAGGACAGCCAAAGTTGCTTAGAAAAACCCTGCCTCAAAAAGAAAGAAAGAGGCCGGGCAGTGGTGGCGCACGCCTTTAATCCCAGTACTCGGGAGGCAGAGCCAGGAGGATCTCTGTGAGTTTGAGGCCAGCTTGGTCTCCAAAGCAAGTTCCAGGAAAGGTACAAAGCTACACAGAGAAACCCTGTCTCGAAAAACAAAAAAATAAAAAGAAAGAAACGAGAGAGAGAGAGAGAGAGAGAGAGAGAGAGAGAGAGAGAGAGAGAGAAGAAAGAAAGAAAGAAAGAAAGAAAGAAAGAAAGAAAGAAAGAAGAAAGAAAGAAAGAAAGAAAGAAGGAAAGAAAGAAGGAAAGAAGGAAAAAATGGCTTTGCATGCCTGACCCACCTCCTAAGAAATCTCATTCTCATACCATTACTCAGGTCTTGTATTGGAACCTGATACTGGGCACCAGCAGGCCATGGAAACAGATCTGGGAGCTCCTGGAGTTTGGTGGGCTATGGTTGTTTCTTGTCCTGGTTTCTGTTTAGTCTATGATCCCCTAGGGTCTCAGCCAGATCTCCAAGGGTTTGTGGGCATATTTAGCCTTCTGACTCCTGTGGTTTCTGGGGACACTGGCCTCTGAAGAATTCTGGCAGCAATTACAGCATGCACAGTTCATTTGGTAATTAATCATGGGTTCCTGGGGGCAAAGCTACTGTTGTCAGTTTAAGTGGTTACTTGGACTTATTTCGGTCTTGGCATATTACATGGCCATGTGCAAATATTATACCCCTGTAATGGGCAGGGCCACTGTTTTTGTTTTTTGTTTTTTTGTTTTTTTTTTTTCATGTTGGGCATCTAGTGAGATTCTAGCAAGTACTTTCTGAAGCTCCTGCTGATCTGGAGAAGTAGAGGGTGCCTAAGAGAGAGCCAGGAGGAGGATGGTGTTGGAGGAACACATGCCCTGGGCTGGGCATGGTGGTATTGCCTACACCAGATAAAATCTGTCCTCTAATCAACAGTGTGTGTCCGTTACTGGATTAAGAACTTGAAGTGTGTCCTTACCATGGTTCATGAAGAAGAGATCACAAATGAAGTGAACTGAATGCTTTGTTCCCATACAGCAATGTAGTGATAGAGCCAAGATGCAAAATTTGTCTTAACATTGTTCTTAAATGCAGTACTACTGTGTTGCCCTCCCCAGCACTAACAACCTGTGGGGTAGAGTTATTCCCCCATTTTCCTGGACAGGGCCACTGGCAGCTCTTCATCCTTCCAGCTGTCTACTGTGTACT